AAAAAAAAAAAAAAAAAAAAAAAAAAAAAAAGAGGAGAGATAGGGTATACTTACACACTATACAACATAAACACAAAACGAATTAAAAAAATAAATAAATAATTATATAAATAAACAAATAAATAAATAAATAAATAAATAGATAAATAAATAAATAAATAAATAAGATGCCCAGGGCAGTCTAAAAAAAAGAAAAAGAAAAAGAAAAAAATAAAGAAAAAGAAAAAAAAAAAGAAAAAAAAAAGAAAGAGAAACGTAGCTGTTGCTGCTGCTGCTGGTTGAGTGAAAAAGCCTTAAAGAGCAGCAGCAAAACAAAAAAAAAAAAACTAAAAAAACAAAAAAAACAGAAAAAGAAACAGAAAAAGAAACAGAAAAAAAAGAATAAAAACAAAAATATAAACAAAACAAAAAAAAACAAAAACAAAAACAAAAAAAATAATAAAATACCTCTTGCTGCTGCTGCTGATTGAGTGAAAAAGCCTTAAAGACAGCAGCAAAAGCATCGGTGAGTTTAGAGACAGCTCCATCACTGCCTGCTGCTTCATCAGCAGCAACATAAACAACATCTATATCTTCCTGCTGCTGCTGCTGCTGCTGCTGCTGCTGCTGCTCCTCCTCCTCCTCCTCCTCCTCCTCCTCTTCTGACTCTGTCTCTGCTTCTGCTGCTGCTACCCCCAGCAGCAGCTCTATCTTTTTTTTTAGTTTTTTATTCTTTCCTACCGGCAGCAGCAACTCCTTTTGTTTACTTTTTAAGGGCACAGCAGCAAGCAGCTCCTCTCTCGTCAACTCCCGCTGCTGCTGCTGCTGCTGCTGCTGCTGCTGCTGCTCTTCGTCCTCCCCCTCCTGCTGCTGCTCCTGCTGCTGCTGCTGCTGCTGCTGCTGCTGGCGTTTCTGCTGCTTCTGTCTCTTTCTCCGCAGCAACTTAACTACTCTCTTTGCCTTTGCTTCGTTTGTTTTCCACAATGCATGCAGGGGGCTTTTATTTTTATTTGCTGCTGCTGCTGCTGCTGCTGCTGCTGGTGTTGCTGCTGCTGCTGCTGCTGCTGCTGCTGCGTCAGGAGCACCACCAGCAGCAACCTCCTCGCTTGAAGGAGTGCCGCCGACGGCGGCAGCCAGCGGTGGGGTCATCGGGCTGCTGCTGCTGCTGCTGCTGCTGCTGTTGCTGCTGTTGTTGTTGTTGTTTTTTTTCTTTTGCTGCTGCTGCTGCTGCTGCTGCAGACTATGCTGCTCCTGTGTGTTGTTTCTCCTGCTGCTGCTGTTGCTGCTGCTGTTGCGGCTGGTTGTTGTCGAGTGAGGGGACCGCAGCAGGCCGCTGCTGCTGCTGCTGCTGCTGCTGTTGCTGCTGCTGCTGCTGCTGCTGCTGCTGTCGGTCTAGGGATGTTGCGGCTGCATCTATGTTTAAAGAAATTTCATACAAAACAAATCCTGCTGCAGCAGTACTCCTGCTGCTGCTGCTGCTGCTGCTGCTGCTGCTCCGGGGGCTGCTGCTGCTCCCGCTGCTGCTGCTGCTGCTGCTGCTGCTGCTGCTGCTGCATGCGTCCTTATGAGGAGAGACGATGCATGCGCCCCCCAGGCTTCTCTTTTTTGTTTTTTTTTTGTTTTTTTTTTTATAGATTTTAATTATAAAGTTTTTATAATTCTTAAATAAAAAATACCTTCATATAAAGAGCAGCAGCAGGGGGGGTTGCTCCTACACAAGGAACGAGCAGCAGCAGCAGC